GAGGCTCCAATACTTTGGCCATCTCATGAGAAGAGAAGACTCCCTGGAAAAGACCCTGATGCTGGGAAAGTGTGAAGGCAGGAGGAGAAGGGGACGAGATGGATGGACAATGTCATTGAAGCGACCAGCATGAATTTGACCCAACTCCAGGAGGCCGTGGAAGACAGGAGGGCCTGGCGTGCTCTGGGCCATGGGGTCACGAAGAGTCGGACATGACTTAACGACTACACAACAACAAGTGCCTCCTTTCTCCCCATAGGGGACCCAAGACAGCGCACAACGGCTGAAACCAGAAATTTAAAATTTCCAGGATGGAGTGAATTTGAACCCAGGTCTCTTGAGTCCCCATCCAGTACGCTGCCCACGAACCCTCACAGGCTCGATTAAACATCCCTCCACATGATTTCTGAACTGTCCCTGGGATTTGCTTTCTTCCAATCTGTGAAATGCGCATTAGCCTCTATGGATGGCTTGATAAATAGCGGTTCTGTTCACACGTCTGGCCCTGGGGCTAGGATATAAAGGACAGCTATAAACCGCCAATCATCCTACTGTACTAAAAAACTTTAATTTGAAAGTGGTCATTTGGCTGTCGGAAGGCAGCTCAAGGAGGAAGGAAGGCTAACGCCTCGTAGGGGGGTTTAAATCAGAGAGGGATTGGGATGAATTGCAAGAAATGATTCTATGTTGTTGTATTTTTTTATTTATTAGAATTCCCGAAAACTTGTGTCTGGTTTAGGTTTCTGCAGATCTTTGGTCTACAAAATCAAACATTTTCCCGTCTCTTGTAGAAGCAATAGGTTTAACTCCTCTCTAGGCAGGAACTTATACAGAAAATCAACGCAGGGCAGCCAAAACAAAGGGACTTTAAACACCGGAGGTTCAAATGGCCGTGGTATCTTTACATGAAGTCAGACACGTCCTATGGCTTTATTTATTCATGTAAGGATATAAAGGACAGCTATAAACCGCCAAACATCCTACCGTACTAAAAAACTTTAATTTGAAAGTCGTCGTTTGGCTGTCGGAAGGCAGCTCAAGGAAGAAGGCTAACGCCTCGTAGGGGGGTTTAAGTCTGAGATGGATTGGGATGAATTGCAAGAAATGATCCTATGTTGTTGTATTTTTTTATTTATTAGAATTCCCGAAAACTTGTGTCTGGTTTAGGTTTCTGCAGATCTTTGGTCTACAAAATCAAACATTTCCCGTCTCTTGTAGAAGCAATAGGTCTACTCCTCTGTAGGCAGGAACTTGTACAGAAAACCAACGCAGGGCAGCCAAAACGAAGGGACTTTAAACACCGGAGGTTCAAACGGTCGTGGTATCTTTACATGAAGTCAGATACGTCCTATGGCTTTATTTATTCATTTATTTAAAATATTTTTACCCCGCCTTTCTCCCCGAAAAGGACCCAAGGGTGGCTTACAACCATGGAAGACCACGTTTAAAGTTGAAAACCATGGAGTATGCAATGGTTGGTTAACACCATTAAAAGACGGTATAGTGGTGCCTTGCAAGACAATTTTAATTCATTCCGCTTGTATTTCAAAATTAGGAACCATTATAACAATCTCCTTTGCTTTGCAAAGTGGGCCCTTACTGTGGGAGAGAACACCCTCGATCTTGAACAAATTCTGGAAGAATTAAATCAAAATTTGCTGATCAATGTCATGATATGCTGGTGTTCCCCTTTCCAGAAGAATTTTTACTTTCATGTAAATGGCATTAAAGTGGTACCTCGCTAGATGACGACCTTGCAAAACAAGAAATCCGCATGACGATGAGGTTTTGCGATCGCTATAGCGATTTGCAAAGCAGTGATTCCAATGGGGGATTTTTGCTGGACGATGATTTGGTCCATGCTTCATGGACTGTTTGTTCACAAGACAACGATTTTTACAGCTGATCGGCGGCTTCGCAAAACGGCTTCCCTGTGTTTTCTGGACCCATGCTTTGCAGGACAGCCATTTTAACAGCTGATCAGCACTCGCAAAATGGCTTCCCTATGGGCAATCTTCGCAGGATGATGTATTTTTCCCATTGGAATGCATTAAACGGGTTTCAATGCATTCCAATGGTGAAACGGTTTTCGCATGACGATGATTTAGCTAAACAGCGATTTCTATGGAACGGATTATCATCATCATGCGGGGCGCCACTGTACTAGTTTTCCTGTTCTACCAACTGCTACTGAGAGCCACCGTGGGGTGGTGGGTCAAGGGACAGACTAGGAGACCCGAGTTCCGATTCCTGCTCTGCTGTGGGAAACACCGTGCGGACAAGCGGCGCTTGTAAAATCTACACCTTGAACACCTCGCCTAATTTGAAAATTCCCTTGGAGTCACTGTAAGCGGATAGTGACTTCTGATGATTGCACCAAATAACAGTAACTTATTCATTTAATTTATTTGCTTGCTTGATTTATATCCCGCCCATCTGGTATATTTTACCACTCTTGCTACCAGCAAGTGTGAAAGTGTATTTGTAACGGCAGTCAGCTGGAGAACGGAAACATGTGATAAGCCACCCAGTTTTAATAGCTATTTGCTGCTTCTCCTACTTAATTTTAATTTTGCAGGGCACAGCTGGCTCCCATCGTTAGTGCTAGCACAGAGTTTATACCACTAAAAATTATGGATGTACAGTATATAAAATATAGGTAAAATTAAAACCCAGTTAGAATCTTAAGTGTTTTTGGCCAGCAGCAGGCTACTCCGATAGCGTCGTCTCGGTCGTTTGCTTCGTTTGTCCCCCTCGTGGGACATAAAATTGCATGCACAGAAGTGCTGCATGGAATGAATTTCTCCACAGTCACATAAAAATTGTCCTGTATAGAGATGGAGGAAAAAACCAGAAAAATTGAGGGAGGGGAAAGTTTTTCTCCATTTTTCCCCCCTGGATCTTCCTAAATTCACTTTGAAGTCGATGAAAGTGTGTAGCGGAGAATCCTTTGCATGCCTGTAATCGAGGCCTGACCCCGTTTGTTGCTGGAGAATAACCATTCAGAGCGCAGGCTGAGATAAACCTATTACCACCCTTTCGACAATAGATTACAGCAGAGCTGACATCGTTCTGATGAGCAACCACCGTACTATAATTAGCAAGCGTTTATTTATAATGCCGGGGGAGAGAGACGAGGATGCAAAAAATAAATCAGGTCACCGCCTTGCAGCCAAAGTATACTTGACAATATCGGCCGCGAGAACTTTTGGTGGAGAGACAAAATTAGGATTCGTCTCCCCTCCAGTTAAAAATTCTCCACAATTGCCTGTTTCCAGGTTCACCCTTGTTTCTCCTCCCCGAACTCATTCAAAAGGCTGCGATTCTTCGAAGCTGCCGTTTAAATCAGGGTCTGTTGATAAGAGGGTTCCCGCTGCGGTGCGATGGCAACGGGATGGACTACGATTTGCGAGCCCTGGGTTCGAATCTCCGCTCAGCCACAGGAACTCACTGAGACAAGAGGAACTGGTCAAATCATGCCTTGAATAACTTCACTTGCTTTGATCGCCCAGTTAGGGTCATGATGACGAGTCGGTTCCACCTTGTGGGCAGAAAACACACACCTATTGTTCCACCACCCTAATTACTGTACTTTTAAAATTATTTGCAAGTTATCTTCCCTTAATTTTATTTTGCTTTTGTGGGTGTGTGCTGGGGCTTAATTTTGCTTTTTGTACACTTCTTATATTTAGTGTTTTTCAATGGCTGCCTATTAGGCTCCTGTGTTGTTAAAACCGCCCAGAAAAAAAGTCCAATAAATAAACAAATATTGATAGAAAGGTGGGCTGGTGGGTTGCTCTGAAGAAAGGCAGGGAGTAATAAATTAATAATGACAATAATGACAATGGCAATGACGACGACGACAACAACAACAACAACAATAATAATAATGGCACTTGCAAGTGACTCTTTCAATTAAGGCTTAGAGCTCATCTTTCCCTTCCTGAAATGCCACACTGCTGTTCACTGACCACTAGGCCATACAGCCGCCCCTCTTTTTTTTCAGAATCATACATCAAGACCCGCTTCGGGACATGTTCACACATGACATGGAAAGAAGCCCATCTTCTGCCCCCCGCTCCACTAACAGGCGTGCACGCGTTGGCCACGTTCCCACCTTGACACGGGTGTGCGTGTGTGCCATCAAGTGCCTGAGACGCCTCCTGCCCTCTTTCTGAGGGGCGCGGAAGGCGCCCTAGAGCTCAGATCACGTCTGAATACGGCAGCGTGCAAAAGGCGAGACTCCCCCCCCCCTCCGCCCCTCTCCAACTGGGGCAGGAGGCGCATGCCCGGTGGGGCGCTGCCTAGTTTAAACCCCCCCGTCGCTGGCCCGCCCCCTTCGCACGTGCCTGGCTCGCCCCGGGGAGGCGGCGGCTGCGGCTCAGTCGCCCTCCAGCCGGGCGCGCGCATGCACACGTTCGCTGGCCATGGCTGCCGACCCGGGTCGTGGGAGCGGCGCCGGGACTGGTCTTCCTCCTCCTCCTCCTCCTCCTCCTCTTCCTCCCTGCGGCCCCGGCCAGGAGGATCCTCTCCTCCGGCGGAGATACACGCAGGACAGCTACGGTGAGTGGGAGCCCCTTGCACGCATTTCTCCCCCCTGTACGTGTGGATGGATGGCTAGATAGATGGAGGTGCACCGGGGCGGTGGGGGGGTCCCCCCTCTTCCTTTCCTGTCCGGAGCAAAGAGTTCTCTCCCCCCCACCCCACACCCACCGATATCTGTCCCGGGGATAAGCCGCCCCGCCCGCCCTTCGGACGTGCTTCCAAATGGGACACGCGTCTTCAGCCGCGGGCGCCGGGTCCTTCCATCCCGGACCGTTTAGTGGCGTTTAATCCTCCCACCTGCGACTCCCGGGCGTGCCGGGTCGTGTTCGCTCCGATGTCTTGCTTCTCTCTCTCTCCCAACTCTCGCCTTTCGTGGGGCGTAACGTGTGAGCGGGCGCTGCCGTGGCTTACCGCGCGCTAATCCGGTCGAAAGCGGAGAGAGGAGGGATCCCAGTGGGTCGCCTTTCCTGGGGAGCGGGTGGCGGGCTCGTTTGCTTGCTGGAGAAGGAAAACCCTCGACTTCTAAAGTTGATTTTATGGGGCAAAAAAAATAAAAATAAAAATCAGCGCCTGTGGGTTTTGGTGCGATTCAGGCAATGATCCCGGAGTCATTTACTTGGGGGTTGGCCTCCTTGAACTCAAGAGGGGCTTCCTTTTGAGCAGACACGTGTCAAGGACGGCCTGAAAAATAACCGGGTCCACCCCCCCCCAATTTTTCCCCCTTTGAAGGAAAGGCCTTTTAACTGGGAACTGCACAGACAGAATTTCTTGTGAGTAAATGGTCTGGTTCAGGTTGGAAGAGTGAAGGTGGAATGTTGCCGCCACGCCCCCCTAGCCTGGTGCCTTCTAGAAGAGATGGCCACGCCCCCCTAGCCTGGTGCCTTCTAGAGATACTTTGGACTACAACTCCCATCATGTTGGGCCATTTGCCAAGCTGGCTGGGACTGATGGGAGTGGCGATCCAACACCGACCTGAGGGGAGAGACAGGTGGCGGAAAGCGTTTTTCATCTCCTGGCATGTAGGTAGAGAAACAGGAAAAGTTCCTTTTGGACTGCCGCTCCCATAATCCCCAGCCAGTGTGATTAGGGGTGGGATTCTGGGACTTGTAGTGCACAAAGCTCATATTTTTCCATGGGTGTGTGTGTGTGAGAGAGAGAGGCCCTAGATAAGGAGAGAGTTTGTGTTTTGCATTCCGCAGGCCCAGGACAATTTAATCAGGTTACCTGTGTGCAGGTACGGCGTAGATTTGCTGGTGGGAATAGGCAAGTCGGAGCGGGACCAGCCCAGATTCGGTGGAAAGCCTTTTCTGAGATAAGGCTGCTGGCAATAATCATCTCAACAATGATGTTTTCAACAATAACACACACAAAAATCCAGCATGTCCGTGCATTGAGCAACTTTCCTGCATGAGACAATTGCTTTAAAGCACAGATTCCACCTCCCCCCCCAAAAAAATATTTGTGGTATTTTTCCTTGTCTGTGTACTTTTCCAGACTTCCCATGCTCAGAGGAGTAGAAAATAAATCGGGATCTGCAGGTTATTCCTCTCTGGATTTCTCATCCCCAGTTGCAACAGGAACGGGAACAAAATCAGAGTGATTGTGACACCTTTTAAGACTCGCTCGTGGGTTTCCTTTGAGCGTTTGTGGGTTGTGTGTGAGTGTGACGTATATATCCATGCATGTCTATACTGAAATGAATGGGAGGATTGCACATAGAAGTCACTGGAACATGTCCAAGGTTTACTCGTCTCTCTCCTGTCTTGGACCAGAGACTTCTCGGCCGCCTCTCTTGGCAGACATGCACAATCTATAAACTTAGCATATCTGTCTACCTATAATAAAAATCTTATTCCCTTGCTTGATACACCCCCAAGGAGGCCTAATATAATATTTCCCTGTTGATTTATAGCATTAATCTATGAATCTACTAATCCTAAATTTAGTTCTATATTAAGACAACAACATACAATGAGATGTAGAGAATGTAAAAGCCAAGTAGAGAGTTTGAAAAAGGGGCACAGAGAAAAACCGCACAGTGCAGGCTCGCACCAAGGTATATCCAAATAGCAAATGTCCAGGGGATGTATAAGCAGCGACGCCCACCTTTCAGTTGGGAAATATCAAGCACAGTGCAGGCTCGCACCAAGGTATATCCTAATAGCAAATGTCTAGGGGATGTATAAGTAGCGACGCCCACCTTTCAGTTGGAAAATATCAAGGTGGAAAAAATACCTTCTGGTGTCTGTGCCTGGTTATAGATGTCATTGGCGCAGACCAGCATCATGGACAGGTTGCCCCCTCCCACGGCAGTCCCAGTCAGGAGAAACCGAACGCTGTTACCCCCCACAGCCCTTGGCACCAGAGTGTCTCTAAGTTTCATTTCTCAATAAATGGATGTCTGTAAACTAGATTTCACTTTCACGTGTTCCTTTAGCCAGCAGAAACCTAGACACTCCCCACCAATTTATAAACGTAAGTAAGACTCCAAACATTCAGAATAATTATTACAGAGATTCGGAGCGATCCCATTTGGGTATATTCGGAACTTTCCGAATATTGCGTAATTCAGCGAATTATGAATATTTTTGAATCTGAATGCCCATCCCTGGTCAAAGGCACCTCAAGTGGTGTTTAGTTTAGTTTTCTGCTGAAAAAGACTTAGAAGAGCTACTTCCCAGGGGTTTAAACAACAGCCGGCTGCCCACCTTCGTCTCCCATGTGGCTGCAACGAATTTCCAAGGGGTAGCCGTGTGTGTTCACCTGTTGCAAGGTGAGTACAGAGAGTCTTCTGGCATCGTGGAAGGCTAATCGGTTTTATTTCGGAGAAGCGTTGCTGGGCGTCAGCCCTACAGATCGTGAAAACGAATTATACCTCCTCGAGGGCAAAGAGAGCCCGTTCGTCTTTCCCGGGGGCAACGTGGATAGAAGGAGGAAAAGGCTCGGGATGGTCTGAGCAGGGTTTTGTGTAGCTGAATGTTTTTATCTTTTTCTTTCCCTCCCTCCCCCCCGCCCCACTTGTTTGTGCAATGCTTTGGGGCCTCCGTGGACGCTTGTCACGTTTCATAAACAAGCTGGCAAGCGCATCCTTTGTTTCCGTCCAAAGCGTCCACTGTACAATTCACAAACGGACAGCAATTTTGTTTCTGCTTGGAGACCCGGTTTCTGGGCTCAGAAATCCTTTCACGCTAAAACCCTGTGTCGTTTGTGCCAGATGTTGATTACGGAGATTTGGAGGCTTGAGTCTGGTGACACACAGAGCAGCCTGTTACAGCCTCTGGCTCGTCTGAAGAACATGAAAATGAATCAGCGGGCAGGTTTTTATTTTTAAAACCAGTGCCAGCTTGCAGGTTACACTGGACTCATCTCACCACAGCAGGAACCTCTTGTTTATGCAACCAAGACAGTTGATGTTGGGATCTATCACAGCCCAAAGTGAGGTATCCCTCAGGGACTTCACCGGGGTTAAAACCAGAGCATTTCACGCACTTGTAGCTTTGCTCCTATTAAACAAAACTGCTTAATATTCATCTTTTCTTTCTTCTCTTCTTTCTTTCTTTTCTTCTTTCCTTCTTTGTTTCTTTTTTCTTTCTTTCTTTCTTTCTATCTTTCCTTCATTCTTCCTTTCCTTCTTTCTTTTGTTCTTTCCTTCCTTGCTTCTTTCCTTCCTTCCTTCCTTGCTTCCTTCTTTCCTTCCTTGCTTCTTTCCTTCCTTGCTTGCTTGCTTCCTTTCTTCCTTGCTTCCTTCCTTCCTTGCTTCTTTCCTTCCTTGCTTCCTTCCTTGCTTCTTTGCTTCTTTCCTTCCTTCCTTCCTTGCCTGTGGCATGGCTTGAGCTAAGGCAGCGCTCCCGTGTTCTTGTATTGCAGTGGGGGGGGTAAACTTGGGCCCACCGTGTGGTTTTCACTACAACTCCCATAGTCTTTTTTACCACTGACTGTGCCAGCAAGGCCTTCTGAGAGTTGTCAGTCCAAAATATGTGGGAGGCTCACAGACCTTGCCCGAGGACAGAGGAAGGCCAGCTCCGAGTTTGAGAAGCAAAGAAATCAATTAGTTTTCCTCTGCTGTTTTGGAGAAGTCTTTTTCTGTTACGCTCACGTAAACAGGATCATGCATGAGTGTCAGAGGTGTGATCGCCACTGGTTGGAGAAACTTCAGGACAGCTACTGTTGCGCTGATGTCCGTGTTCGTTGGCTGCCCAGGGAGTCTTGCGCTCATGCGCACGTCCCTTCATATTTGCTACTCAAGGGGCCATGGGTCCACCCGCCCGGCGTGCAAATATTGCTTCCAGTCGTGCTTCAGAAGCACGTTAACAGGTCTGCTGGGCGCTTGCTCCCAGGACTGCCTCCTCATTCTTCTTGCGCTGCACGCCATTTTCATGTGACTTAAGCATCACCAAAAGGGCAGCAAATCCCCCCGGGATGGAAGTTGCTAACCCTGGCTCTGACTTGCGCATACTGGGTCCAGTGGAGCACGCTGGTCCGTGCGTTTGGTACACCGGATTTACGTGCGAACGGGCGTCACCATTCGGATGCGGAGGACCTTGAATCACGACCCTGCACCTCCTTGATGAGTAAAGATCGCAAACGTGTTGTGTTATTTGGGTTCCTTTTTTGCAAGACTTTTATCTTGAAGGCTTAAAATATGATACGGGGGCCGCGAATGATGGCGCAAGAGCTTAAACTGTTTGGGAAAGGATTTTTTTTCTGCCTCCCCTTTTAAAGCGGCGTCTTGATCCAAGTGAAAAAGTCATTAGCGTCCGGGCTTTGGAGTCTTGGTGCGAGAAGGTTCAGCTGATCTGTTTAAATACGAAGGGATTAGCAGACTTCTGTCTTGTTTGGGATTTACCCCTGTCCTCTCCCTTGTTTTTCAAAGCCAAGCACCATTCCGCCCCCTCACCAGACACGTGGCTGCTTTTAAGGGACTTCCTAGATAAGTTCGTCTGTATATCTTCATAGCCTCCTTTCTCAAACAACCCAATCTAAGTGGCCTTACGGTCTTGTTTGCCTGCAGACAATGTCCGGGAATTTCAATATGGCCTCCCTGACGTCAACTCAGGGGCCTTTATGAATGAAGTCATCTCAGCGTTCAGACTACGTGCCGGTTTGCATACCCCCGTTTTTTCCCATCTCCCCCTGTAGAGAAGGGGAAGAACTTTTCCACCTATTTTTCTTTTGTTGATTCCCCCCCCCCCATCTCCAGCAAGCACACCGTCTGCAGCTGTCCATGCTGTGGTTAACCTTTTTTTCTGGCATACCTAGGGAAGTGGTTCTCAAATATGGGTCTCCAGATGTTCTTGGATGGAAACTTCCCCGGTAGCTGTGCTGGTCAGGATGTTTAGGAGTTGTACTCTGAGAACATCTGGGCACCCAAGGTTGGGAACCACGGATCGAGGCCTTCAGCGTGATGATTTGTAGAGTCCTATCCGATCTCCCTCTTGTCTTCTTTTTTCAAGGCTAAACACGCCCAGTTCTTTCAGTCTTTCTTCCTAGGGCTTGGTTTCCAGCCCCCTGATCCTCTGTGTTGCCCTCCTCTGAACTGGTTCCAGTTTGTCAGCATCCTTCTTGAAGGGCGGTGTCCAGAACAGGACACAGGATGCAAGGTGAAGCCTAACCAGTGCTGAATAGAGAGGGATAAGCACCTTGCGGGATCTGGAGAATAGACTTCTATTACAGGTAAATGTAAAGGTTCCCCTTGACAATTTTTGTCCAGTCGTGTTTGACTCTAGGGGGCGGTGCTCATCCCCGTTTCCAAGCCATAGAGCCAGCATTTGTCCGAAGACAATCTTCCGTGGTCACATGGCCAGTGCAACTTAGACACGGAACGCTGTTACCTTCCCACCGAGGTGGTCCCTATTTATTTACTTGCATTTGCATGCTTTCTAACCGCTAGGTTGGCGGGAGCTGGGACAAGCGACGGGGGCTCACTCTGTCGCGCAGATTCGATCTTACGACTGCTTGGTCTTCTGACCCTGCAGCACAGTCTTCTGCAGTTTAATCCACAGCACCACCACGTCCCTTGACTTCTATTAATGCAGCCTAAGATCGCATTGGCCTTTTTTGCAGCTACATCGCACTGTTGGCTCATCTTCAGCTTGTGATCCACACAGCAGTTCCAAGATCTTTCTCACTCGTAGTATTACTGAACCACCTCTCCCCCCCCATCTTGTAACTGTATGTTTGGGGGTTTTCCCATCAGGTGCAATACTTTCTATTTAACCCTGTTAAATTCCTTTCTGTTGTTTTCGACCCAGTGCTCACGACTATCAAGATTTTTGTCTGTTAGGGTGTGAACCCAGGTCTGCCATGGCCTTGTGGAACACTCTGACCACAGAAGATACTACCCGTCTAAGCCTCAAAGCATCTTTCTAGATTTGCCTCTGCCTTAGTGTCTTAGGGACTTTGTAGTTCTTTTCGTGTGGGTTCTCCCCTCTCCCAAAATTTCTCAAGGAACCCTTCTCGATGGTGGAGACCATCCCTGACTTTTCTGGCCTCTTCTGGCACTCCTCAGCAAAGGGGGTCACTGTGGATGGTCCTTCCCATTGATAAAAGCCATACAATGGGTTGGGGTCTCCTTCTTTCTAGACCTGGAGCTGAGAACATCAGGGTCCGTCTGGACATTTTCCTGATGGAGCCTTTCTCCTTCATAACGTACCTGTTTCTTTGTGGTTGACAGCAATATTTTTTCCCCATCATCCATGCGACATCTGCCTTGTTTCGGTTGGAGTCGTGGCAAAGTCCCAGACTTCCTACGTTTTTCTGCCCTTTTTGAAGGTGTGGTTTGTTTTCCAGCTCATTTTGTTCCGCGAGGTGGCGTTTAGTGCTAGGGCACTCACACTGCCAACTAATTTCTGTGGTTGGAGGGGTCCAGACCAGAAGTGTCCAGTTCACTTTCAGTGAGGCTATTGATTTGTGTTCAACAGTGAAAGAAGGTGAATTGTTTTGGAAAGCGAATTTGAACGTATTTATTAGGAGGGGTCCAGACCAGAAGTGTCCAGTTCGCTTTCAGTGAGGCAGTGAAAGAAGGCGAATTGTTTTTGAAGTCGAATTTGAACGTTTTTATTAAAATATTTGACCCAGCTCTGGGAGGCAGTGGAAGACTGGAGGGCTTGGCGTGCTCTGGTCCATGGGGGTCACGAAAAGTCAGACATGATTTAACAACTAAACAACAAATTAAAATATTTCCTATAGAGAAGAGGCGTGTTTTGAAGTACAATTTTCTTGCAAATCTCAATCACCATTTCTGTGCAACCCACTGGGGAAAAGTAATTTTGGCCTGTTTGGAAGACTTCTTATCAGGTATTCCTACCTCTCATAGCTGTCTGCTAAGGGATGAAAACTTTGCCTTTTTTGAGAGAAGGAGAATGTATAATGAATGAATAAGTAACCCTCCCTCCCTAGCCTGTTAACGATTCAAATTTAGACGAATATGCTGCTGAAAATGTGCATGTTCTAACTATAGATGGTGTCTGGGACCCATGGGTCGGTGGGGCTGGCTGGCTGCTCCCAGAACATGTTTGAAAGACCAAACGTGGCAGGGGGTGGGCAGATGGGGCCCTCCAGTTGTGTTTGCCCAAAAGGTCCCGACAGCCGGAGCGCCCTGTAGAAAGCGCCAATCCAGCCCTTTCAAGCTTTCTCCCTCTCTGTTGGTGGGTGTCCTTTCTGATGCGCAATCTGGGGACACTTCCGTTCAGATCTTGCAAAAGCATCTGTGCTTAATTAGTATAGCTGTAATGGTATAATTGATTATTTTGGTGGCCGTCATATGAGCATCAAGCGAGCGGGATGTGTCAGTGTCATGTGAAGAATGCTCTGGCCCTTTGGATTGGGTTGGGTCCTTTTGGGTTTTTTTGGGGGGGGCTGCTCTGTGTGCCATGAGTCTGGGTGGGGCTGGAGCCCTCCTCCACCCCATACATCAGTGCTGGCCCTTGTCCACTGGGAGGCAATTCCTTTACAATACTCTCTTTCCTAATAACGGGGTTTTATAGAACATTTTACAGTGTCCTGCATGCTTTGCATGTTGTTAATCGTCATAATAACCTCATAAGGTACAGTAGGATTCTCCCCATATTGCAAACAGGGGAGGGAGGGAGGGAAGGGCTGTGCCTTTTCCAGAGAAACGAGCTGGAGCCTCCTTTTTGTATTTAGAGTCCTTTAGAACCCCCCAGCAGCATGGGAGTTGTGGTCCCCCCCAAAAAAGTCACTGTTCCAACCCAGGCTACGAGCTTGCAGTTGCGAACAATACCTGAACCCAGCAGTTTTCATTGCTGAGAAAAGGGGGAAAGCAACATGTGCCCTACCAAAAGATGCTGGACTACAATGGTCATGATCCCCGCTCACTCATGAGGCTCATGGGGGTTGTAGTCCAGCAACATCCAGAGGGCAACACGCTGTCTGCACTGATGTCGGCGCTCAGGACGAGAAGGCAGCATCTGCACCGGGTGAGCATAATAGGTCTCTTATGGCTGAGATCCTGTGGCTTAGTGCTGTAAGTAGCAACTCGAGTAGGTCCATTTTGAAGCAGTGGAACGTATGGAGGAGCTGGCTCCCCAAATCCCCACTGATTCAGTGGGCTTTGTTGTTGTTTAGGCATTAAGTCATGTCTGACTCTTCGTGACCCCTTTATGGACCAGAGCACGCCAGGCCCTCCTGTCTTCCACTGCCTCCCGGAGTTGGGTCAAAACAGTGGGCTTACTCCAGTGTAACTTACTGCACCCAACAGCAGGATTTCAGGTGTTAACTGAAAGTTATGTCAACGCTGAGGTCTGGTTCAGACATATTCTTTTTGACGGCGGCTGATTTGCTTTCCTCCTTTGGCTTATTCGTGCTTCTGTGAATTTCCAATGGGATGGTGTCGGGAACCTTCTCCAGGAAAAGCGCTAGAGGCGTGTGGTTTCGTGTCCTTGAACTACAACTCCCATCATTCTGTCATTAGCTATTTTTTGTTGTCCAGAAACACAAAGCTTCACTCCTCTAAAATCCCATGTGCTGCTCGTTTCGGGGGAGGGAGTGGCACCGCTCTGTGGCTGTGCCAGGGGAAACCACGATTGCCCATGCCTGCCAGCCCCTGAGGCCGGCGGCCATGTAGCCATAGAAGAAAATCCCAGTGGGGCTCTCCCCTTCGACTGGGGAAACGGTCGAAAGAAGCCTCTGTGCCTTGCAGAGCAGTGGCAAATTCCGCAGGGCGGCTGCACGGGTCTGTTCTCGGTCTACAAATAAATGAACCCTCGTCCTGGAGTTTTTCCGCTCCATTGATCTCTCTCTCTCTCTCTCTTGCCTTCTAGACTTCCCCAGAGAGTTGGAGTACAGGGCCGACCCTCACCGGAGAGGGTCCCTCTGTGACCGGCACTGCGCCGCCATTAACAACACCCATGGGGACCTTGGGGACCTCCATTCGGGTTCTCATCACGGCATCCTTCCACCCAGGATAGTCCCAGGTATGAGAAGAGGGCCCTTGGGATTTCCAGCAGGCGTCAAGGCAGGGGATGGTGAGGAGGAGGAGGAGGAGGAAGACGACGGCTACTTCCACAATTGGCTGGTGGGCGTAGCTGGGGGGTGGGATCGTAGCCCAGAAAAAATAGCTTTTTCAAGATCTGAACCTATTCTGTCTTCTTATAGCTCTGGCTGGCCCTCTTATTTATCTGCGAGGCACTGTATCATAGAATCGTCGTAGGGTTGGAAAGGGACCTCAGAGGTCCTCTAGTCCACCCCCCTGCCCAAGCCAGGAGACCTCAGACCATCCCGGATCTCAGACCCTCCTGGACCGATGGCTGTCCCATCTTTTCTTGAAAACCTCCAGTGATGTGGCACCCACCGCATCGGGAGGCGAGCTGCTCCATTGCTTCATGGTTCTGCCCGTCAAGAAATTCCTCCTGATTTCCAGGTTGGATCTCCCTCTGACGGGTTTCCACCCCTTGGTTCTTGTCCTACCTTTGGGCGCCATGGAAAATAAATCGATGCCCTCTTCCCTGTGGCAACCCTCCAGATCTCGTAAGACTGCTATCATGTCTCCCCTCAGTCTTCTCTTCGTTAAGCTAAACATACCGAGTTCTTTTGAGTCCTCCTTAGGATTTACCCTCCAGTCCCCTCATTGTCTCAGTTGCTGTTCTCTGCACCCCTTCTAGAGCCTCCAGGTTTTTGGGGTTTTTTTGGTATTGTGGTGACCAAAACTGGACATAGCACCTCACCCGCGCGGTAGGTGTGGCTGTCGTGAGGATTGGTCTTAGATTTTCCTGTTCTCTGCACCCCTTCTAGAGCCTCCAGATTTTGTGTTTTTTTTGGTATTGTGGTGACCAAAACCGGACATAGCACCTCACCCGTGCGGTAGGTGTGGCTGTCGTGAGGACTGGTCTTAGATTTTCTTGCCCAAGGCAAGGTGGCCTATATTTCCCTGCCCTGAGGGGACAGCAGCAAGCTTGCCGGTGCCTTAAAGCGGAAAAACCCCCATTGGTTCCTCTTTTCAGCCCTAAAAGTGTAGCAAAAGCTGCAGACCAACCAGGGAATAAGGAATAATTTGGCCATCCTCTTAGGATGCCCCAGACTTGCCTCACGGCGAGGCTGGCGTTCTCTTTAACTGTAGTTTCTTTTTAGTACAAAGGAGGACAAGATCTGGGATAGGTTTGTGGAACTAGGACACGGTACACCAGGAATTCCCAACCTTGGCTCCCCCAGGTGTTCCTGGACTACAACTCCCAGAAGCCTTCACCACTAGGTGTGCTGGCCAGGATTTATAAGAGTTGTCGTCGAAGAACATCTGGGGATCCAAGACTGGGAAGCACTGCAGTACAGTGATACCAGCTGTGGGTGCAAATGGACCTCACAATAAGCTTTCTTTCCCTGGAAGTTGGTTTGTTGTTGTTTAGTCGCTAAGTCGTGTCCTACTCTTCGTGACCCCTTTATGGACCAGAGCACGCCAGGCCCTCCTGTCTTCCACTGCCTCCCGGAGTTGGGTCAAATCCTTGTTGGTCACTTCGATGACCCTGTCCATCCATCTCGTCCCCTGTCGTCCCCTTCTCCTCTTGCCCTCACACTTTCCCAACATCAGCGTCTTTTCCAGAGAGTCCTCTCTTCTCATGAGACGGCCAAAGTATTGGAGCCTCAGCTTCAGGATCTGTCCTTCCAGTGAGCGCTCAGGGTTGATTTCCTTCAGAATGGATAGGTTTGTTCTCCAGGAGACAAAGCAAAAATTAATAAAAGGCAAAAACATTGTGGCTGCTTAAAGATGAACAGCTATATTTTAACACAGGTTTTTGTGAATAAAGTCCATCTCCTCAGACATAAGAGTGAGACTACGGGACGGTCATATTTATACTTGGCCACACAACCAGTTGGTAATACAAATTTGGGAAACCGCCTTTTGAAAAACCGCACCACCCACGACACCTTTTGAAACCCTTTGCCAAGTGGGGCAGAGTCTCAACCGCAGTCCTGCAGCCAAGACTCTGCCTACTACCTGAGTTTGATCCCGTCAGGTTTTGGTAAGCCCCGTCACCACTGACTCAACCTCCCCTCCATCTGAGTTTAGTAAATGGATGACCCACCTCACTGTGATGGGGGAAATGTGTCGCCTGCGTCATTAAAAATTGTAAACGGCCTCCAGAGAGTGCTTTAAGCTTTGGGGGGCAATATGGAAGCAGCCCACTTTGCTTTTTCATTTTGAGTGTTTATATGACCGGCATACTTTACTAGATTTGAGTGACAAGAAATACTGAAGGGTGTGTCATCGGCTTTACCCTCAAGTAGACTCATGCTGGCTTGTTTTCCTTTCCATCGGCATTCTGACAATATACCGACAAACGGGAAACAAATGTAGGTCATGCAATGGTACAGTGGTGCCTCGCATAGCGATCGCTCCATTTAGTGATGAAATCGCTTTGCAACAAATTTTTTGCAATCACAAAAGCGATTGCTTTGCAATGTTCCCTATGGGGCAATTTTCCTTTGCAATTATCGGTTCCCTGCTTCGGGAACCGAGCATCGCAAAGCGACGATTTTAAAACAGCTGATCAGTGGTTTCAAAATGGCCGCCGGGTAAACAAAATGGCCACCCGCTGTTTTCTGGGACGGATTCCTCGCTTACCAGGCAGTGAAAATGGCCGCGCTATGGAGGATCTTCGCTGAACGGTGAGTTTTAAGCCCATAGGAACGCATTAATCAGGTTTTAATGCGTTTCTGTGGGCTTTTTTATTTCGCATTGCAGCGATTTTTGCGTAACGAATTACCGTCGCAATGCAAGGCACCACTGTATTTAAAAAAGATAAATTAAAAAAAAACCTCTAGATTAAAAATCTGGGAACACTTAGCGAGCACCTGGCTAGTTAGAGCCATAGGTGTCTGCGGGGGGGGGGTATAACTCCTAAATTTATTGTTCTCGTGTCCGCATTCACCCTGACGTGCCGGCAAAAGACTCACCGTGTTCTGGGTTTTTGTGGGGGTTTTTTTAGTGCTCTCAAGTCCTTCTTCCTGCCCATACCACTCGGAGGAAGTGCAGACGTGCGATGGCTGTTTGATGAGAACCACCCTGACCGCCGAGAATGAAGTGGAAGCTCACAAGCTCTCCAACAATTACAAGGTCTGTATCTTCCCATTCTGGTGTGTGTGTGTGTGTGGGGGGGAAGTTTCAGAGAGCAGAAACTCTCTTGCAGAGGAGAGGAGGGTGAGCCTGAGGGATCCGTTTGCCTTCTTCCAATTCTGGCGCCGAGAATGAAGTGGAAGCTCACAAGCTCTCCAACAATTACAAGGTCTGTATCTTCCCATTCTGGTGTGTGTGTGTGTTGGAAGTTTCAGAGAGCAGAAACTCTTGCAGAGGAGAGGAGGGCAAGGGATCCGTTTGCCTTCTTCCAATTCTGCCGCTCAGCAAAGGGACCCCATCTTTTGGTTCCTCTGCTGTGCCACCACCTTTGGCCTTGTCAGGAAAAAAAATCAGGATTGCTTTAACTTGCCAGTGGGTGCAGAGTTTTGAATGTTGGATTAAATTTCTCTAGATGCACAGCAGACGTGCAGGGCTTCACTATGCAGAGTAGCTTCAAGTTCCACCCAGATTAGTTCACCCCTTTTCTCTCATCCACTGGCCCTCACCATCTCAGTAACTCACTTTGAGACACTTGTAAGAAGAAAGCTTTTCATTACCTGCAGTTGAATAAACCGAACAGCAAACTGACAGACACGGTGGCTGTGAGCCGTAGACTCAATGTGTCCACCAGAGTCTGGAGAGGAAAAAAGACACTCAACAAAGAGGCGGGGCTGCCAGAAATTCTGGGAGTTATAGTCATATAATTGACCATAATTGTGGTGCTGGAGGAGGCGCTTGAGAGTCCCCTGGACTGCGAGGAGATCAAACCTATCCGTTCCGAAGGAAATCAACCCAGAGTGTTCACTGGAAGGACAGATCCTGAAGCTGAGGCTCCAATACTTTGGCCATCTTATGAGAAGAGAAGACTCCCTGGAAAAGACCCTGATGTTAGGAAAGTATGAGGGCAAGAGGAGAAGGGGACGACATGGGACAAGACGGCTGGACAGTGTCATCAAAGCGACCAACATGAATTTGACCCAGCTCCGGGAGGCCGTGGAAGACAGGAGGGCCTGGCGTGCTCTGGTCTATGGGGGTCACGAAGAGTCGGACACGACTAAACAACTAAACAACAAATACACACCCACACCCCTTTTGAAAAACTGCTCACCCACGCGCCCACACAGAGTGAGCTGGGTACTCATTTTACCGACCTCAGAAGGATGGAAGGCTGAGTCCATCTCGAGCCGGCCACCTGATCAAACTCGGGTCATGAGCAGAGTCTTGACTGCAGGACCGCAGTGTAACCACTATGCCACAAGGCTCCTGTACTCTCTCACCTGTCCGCCTTTAACACACATCCTTCTCAATTACTCTCTTCCAGTTTGGCTTTAAGAAATGGAAGAGTCACGTGACAGCCCGGCCCTGGGAAGACCGTTCCGAGATCGTGAAGGAACTCTACTCGGACCTGAACGTTGTTAGAAGTCCGACAGGTATTAAAAACCAGGCTGCATTCTTGCTAGAAGTTAGAAACTCTGCTTTTTTGGGGGGAGGGGGGCTACAGCATCCTCAAACCTCCAGCGGCTTTGCTGGTTGGAGGATTCTGGGAACTGTAGTTCCTACTGGCCTATTCCCCCCCCCCAAAAAAGTGCAGGTGGAGCTGTATTTCCTGTGAAACAAAGGCCGAAATATAAACGGAGGGAAAGCTAACCAAAAATTCCCAAAGGAAGTGTGCAAGCTTTCAGAATTGCAGGTCTCTTCGTTGGTTAGTATGTTGTAAAAGGGAAAAGGGTGAGGGACGAGGAAGAGAGGAGCCAGGGGTCCTTAGGATCAGCCTCGGGTCTCAGGATGCCGCGACGGAGGGAGGCAATGGAGAAACTCGGGATCGGATTTAACAAAGCACGCGGATGCTACTTTTATATTGAATTGATTTTGCCGAAAGGCATTCTTGAGTTTATGTATAAAAATCCTGGGTCACTTTTTTCCTGTGAAACGGACGTGATTTTGTGAAGATCGCCCCTCCCCAGCAGGGACCGTGCAATGATCATTCCAAGGCAGGGACGATGTTCAGAATATGCTAGGACTCCCAAATCTACGGGGTGATCCATCTGCCACCCCTACCCCCCCCGATTCTGGAAAATGCAAATTAGAGCAAACACCCTGGGGCAGAAAATCCCAAAGCCACCTCTGCCAGGGGGGTAAAAATGCAGTAGGATCACTTAGCCGCTCACTGCCCTTCCATAACACCTGGTTTGGGCCTCACTCTGCCTGATGGTCGGGCCGGCCCTGAAGGCTTAGACAGTGAAGAGGCGATGCCAGCTAGCTGGGCAAAATCTGTGAAATCCTAACAGCCGCCTGCTGGGGTGTGTGAGTCATGTCTTTCCCCCAGAGATGGAGAACATAGAACTCTGGCTACGGGGTTTGGGGAGCTGTAGCTCCCTCCCCCCCCAAAAAAAACCCCTCCAAATGTTTCCTGTTTATGCTTTTCTCCCTATTTTCGCATCAGGTCAAATTGGATATGAAGCACAAAGGCTTCCCATCCCTCTTCATATCCAAGGGTAGCCAGTGTGGAACTTGTGACATATATATATATATATAAAAGCAAAGTCTACTGGTTAAATACAGCCCCAGAGCGCTTAAACTTAAAGCACTCTTTGGGTGGTTTACAATTTAATCAGGCACGCTACAAGATGGCGCCCCAGTGAGCCGGCTGCTCGTTTCACCAGCTTCTTGAGTTTATGTATAAAAAAATACCAGAAGGATGGAAGGCTGAGTGAACCTTGAGCCGGCTGCCTGGGATGGAACCCGGATCGTGAGCGGAGTCTTGGCTGCAGTATTGCAGTTTAACCACTGTGCTACGAGGTTCTAATTATCATTCTCTCTCTCTCTCTTTCTAGGCTCCATGCTGACGTGTGGGAACGTTTTCTACCTGGTGTTCTTTGGCTGGTGGCTCGCTCTTCTCTACGTCCTGGTCTCCATCGTGATGTTTCTCACCATTGTGGGAGCCTCGTATGGTGAGTTTACTTGCTTTTTGGGGACGTCAACTCCCACAGGTGGCTGGGGAGGCTTTAGAGATCTGTAGCTTGATTTTTAAAAAGCTGTGCATTATAGGTAGTGGAAACATTAAAAAAGAAACCCACATATTCCACCCCCTATACTCCAGCTGCAGTCCAGAATGGTATGGTTTATTCCTTGCATTTTGAAAATAGCATGGAAATCTTAGGCTTTTGGACTACAACCGCCAGGTTAAACTACAACTCCCAGAATCCCACTGGGCACTGACAGTTCTGGGAGTTGCAGCCCAAAAGCTTCATTTTGTGATCTCTGGATTTTTTTTTTTTAATGACAACTTTTCTAGTCCCTAACCTTGAATTTGTGTGGCCTGAGAAATTGTAGACCAAAACAACCTGGAAATTCCCAGTTTGGGGAAGGCATGCTTCATGGGACCTCGTGATGCAGTGGTTAAACGGCAGTCCTGCAGTCCAGACTCCGTTCATGATCTGAGTTTGGTTTTGACGGGCTCAGAGAACTGGCTCAAGATTGACTGAACCTGCCACCCTGCCTGAAGTTGGTAAAACTGAGCGCTCAGCTCGCTTGGGTGGGAGCAATGTACAGTGGTGCCTCACATTACGGCATTAATTCGTTCCAGCGAAATCGCTATAGAACGAAAATGGCGTAATGCGAAAATAAAAAGCCCATTGAAACACATTGAAACCTCTTCAATGCATTCCAGTGGGCTGGAACCTCACAGTCCAGCGAAGATCCTCCTTTTTCGGTGCCTGTACAGCGAGGAATAAGTCCCAGAAAACAGTGGGGAGCCATTTTATTTACCTGGCAGCCATTTTGAAACCGCCGATCAGCTGTCCGAAAATCGTCGTTTTGTGAAGAATCGGTTCCCTGTTTGGAACCGATCATCACAAAGCGAAAAACCCCTATTCAGACCATCGTTTTACGATCGCAAAAACGTCATCGTAATGCGGTTTTGTCGTAATGCGGGGCACAACTGTATAGCCTGAATAATTAAAGTGTAAACTGTCCAGAGAGTGCTTTAAGCACGGTGAGGCGGTATTATAAGCAGCAGACTTTATCCTGAAATGTTCCGGGCCGCAGAAAATACAACGAAGGAGTTGTGAATTAGCCCCTGAGCCCCGCTTTATCTTTGCATTTCCTCTCTTTTGTTTCTCACCTCTCGCTCTCTGGCCTCTCCTAGGAAAGCTGTGCTGGAGTCTCGCCGGGTATTTCCTCTGGCCTTTTGGAAAAGTGATCCAGAAGGTAAGAAGAGCTGGTGGGCCGAAAAGGCATAAAACAAGCCTCGGCCGCATCTGGAATTAGGAGAAAGTTTTGGGAAGCTGGGCTGGTTCATTCCCGGAGCTGCGCCTTTTAATTGTATTTGGCCCTAAGTGGCTGCGTTCACGGAGAAGGGGATGGAGCGTTTAACAGGGTTGCGGGAAATGGGTCAGCCCTTTCTTAACACTTCCTTCCAAATTCAGTCCTTTTCCCCTTGCGGGTTTTCCACATCCCCTTGTAACGCAAGGGTCGGCCACAGGCGGCTTGTAGGTAGCCGCCAGGCCATGAAAACTGTTTCTGAAGGGTCCAGAGGATTGACCCCCCCTGAGAGAAAAGCTCCTAAGGGGTGTGTGTGTGTGAACTGAGCATTGCATCCCTGGAAACATTCAAAAGGCACGCTTTTTCGTTCTGATCCGTTTGTGGATCCCTTAACTTTTTAAAAATGAAAAACGGGAGTGTGTGAGACTCTGTGTGAGCCAGTTCTGGTTTTGTCGATAGGCTTGTGGGTGCAAACCGCATGTCCTTTTGTGGGGTGGGGGTGTCTCCTTTGGCGCTTAAAATGGTCCACTCTTCTGCAATACAAGGAAATCACATCATTGAGGAAGGGGGTTGGTCGTATGGGAGGAACAGCTTTGGAAATTGAGGATTTGGCTTTTTAAAAAGGAATGGCCCTGGTTTCCGGGTTCAGGAGAGATGTTCAGGAACAGATCAGCGGAGGAAAAACCATCTAAACATATTTATGGGAGTGCCTAAGGTTCAAAATTGGTGGGTGTGCAGGTCTGGATCCAGAACAAAAAGCCCTGGGCATTCTCTCTCTCTCTAACAAAAGAGAGGAGCAATTGCATTGATTGGGAGGAGGAAGAAGGAAGGAAGGAAGAGTGCCTGAGAGTAGCAATCCGAAGAGGTGTGACTTTTAGGAGAGTCACAGCGCTGCCCCCCCCCCCACTGGGTGTTGGTAGCCGACTTCCGTGGAATCTGGTGTGTGAAGGACATTTTGGCTCTTTGACGTGGATCCAGTGAAGGAATTCTGCCTTCTGTGGATCGTGGCCCTTTCTGCCTTCTCCTCTCTCCCATCTTCCTCTGTCTTTGCAGACAAAAGCTTGCAATCACAACTGCAACATGAAGTTCAGCAAGTACGACACCATCACCGCCGAAGGAAAGGAAGCGACGCCGCTGCTCAGCCGGCAGGAGCCGGCCGGTCTTGGGGACGACCCCCATTGGGTAAGGGTGGTGGCCTGGTGGTGGTGGCGGCCACGGCCACCTGGTTCCCTCTGTGGCGGGAGAGAAGGCGGATTTTGCTCACTGAACAATCCTTCCAAGGGGGTGGTGGTTATGCAGCTCAAGAACCCTCGTCCCCAACCTTCCCTTCCCCATCAGATGCCAACAAACTGGAAACAGTTCAGAGGAGGTCAACAAGGAGGAGGATGGGGGGACTGGAAACCAAGCCCTAGGAGGAGGAAAGATTGAAAAAACTGGGTCTGTTTGGCCTTGGGAAAAGAAAACAGAGGGGAGATAGAGTAGCACTATTCAAAGACTGGAAAGGCTGTCCCACAAAGGAGGGGCAGGATTTGTTCTCGATCACCCCAGAGTGCAGGGCACGTCATCATGGGCTCAAGTTAGAGGAAGCCAGATTCAAGCTGAATATCACGAGAAAGTTCTTAACTGTTAGAGCAGTATGACAATGGAAACCCATTGGGAGATAGTGAGCCCTCCAACACCAGAGGCCTTCAAGAGAAAACTGGACTACCATCTCCGATCGGCTTGGATTGGGATCCCTGCCTGGAGCAAGGGGTGAGACTCAGTCTTAGGGGCTCCTTCCAATCCCATTCTTCTGTGATTCGCCTTGCAAAACAGACCTATAAAGGCGTAGACCCTTAAGAGCGTTGGGTTCATCTAACCCAGTTTTGCCAGCTCTGACTGGCAGCAGGGGGTTTTCTGAGGGTTCAAGGCAGGATTATTTCCAAGATCTTGGATATTCCTTCTTGATCTCTCACCCTAAGACAGCCCACATTTGATCCTGCTGTTTCGGTATCCCACATTTCCCCCCCAAAACCATATTTTGAAAGGAGATGGGGATTTAGTCTCCTCTGCCGTCTCCGGTTTTCCTCTGCTGCCATGAGGACTAGAAGACCGATTTCTGTGTTTGCCTGTGCAGGTGGGCTTGCATCCAGAGAGAAGGGCTTCTCGGGAAAGAGAGGTCAGGAGAAGCCAAAGTTTGAGGGGCCAGTACTGCTGTCTCTTTGACATGTTGTTCCAGCTTTGGTTTATGACTTACCTTCTTGGCCAGAGCATCAAAGAGTTAATTTTTTGTGCCACCTCTACAAATTTCTCCTTGCCACTTTTGACCCTGAAAGTCTTTCAGAGGGTTGACCGTAAATCATAACAGTCCTAAATCCTATTGAAAGATATAACGATTAAAGCTTTACAATGTACAAAACGTTTGCCCGCTTCTTTCTCACCGATTCCTCTGCTCTTTCCCTTCCCACCAGCGCCGCGTCAGCACCTATGTTTGGCTTCTCTCTGGCTACCCTCTCCTCTGCCTTGCCCATGGCCTGGTGTGCTTTCTCTGCTGGTTCCTCGTCTTCCTCATCCCCATTGCCAAGATGAACGGCCGTACCATCACCAAGGTCTTACTCTTGCCTCCGGAGCGTGTCCATATCCAGAGCCTACGGAAGGTAAGGGACACGCGCAGGGAATCATCCAGAGGTTCAAGGGGACAGGGAGCCTGCCGGAAGGGTTGGAACAAGGATCTCCTTGTTCCCTGATGTATTGAATGTGTTCCTGTATGCTGCTTCCCTGATTGGTTAGCCCCTATAGAGACATATCCCTGATGGGTTGGTCCCTATAGAGACGCATCCCTGACGGGTTGGTCCTTATAGAGACGCATCCCTGATGGGTTGGTCCTTATAGAGACGCATCCCTGATTGGGTTGGTCCCTATAGAGACGCATCCCTGATTGGGTTGGTCCCTATGGAGACACATCCCTGATGGGTTGGTCCCTATAGAGACGCATCCCTGATTGGGTTGGACCCGAGGTCTATGAATCAGATGAAATCTTGTAGCAGGTTGGCCTTCCAAATGACTTACCTTGGCCAAGCTGCAGAACCCACCAAGGCACCCCCAGAAGAAAGGTAAGGGGAAACCAAGGTCCGAGGATTGTCTTCCTGGAAAAACCCTGAAAAGGGTCACCATAAGTCATGATTAGTATTAGAGAAGGACCTGGCTAGCAGGGACCCTGCCGGATGGAGGCACCCGTCTGCTTGAATGTGTGGTTTTGCTGCAACAGTTTATTGCAGAGCTCAGGGCTCTGGCATCTTCTGTGTTTGTCCTTTTCTTCTCCATTCTCTGTCTGTGCTGCAGACGGCCATTCTCCTGGATGCTGAAGTTGTCCTTTGCTGCTACCGGGCTGTTAATGCTTATTATTACAAATACGCCGTGGACGGGATCAACGTCTTTGCCGTCAGTATCCTTTCAGAGAGAGGATTCTGCCTTCGGACGGGGGAGGACAGGATCTCCTTTGGCACCCGTAGTGCCTCTTGGGGGGGGAGCAAGATCCACTAGATGCAATGATCCACCCCTCCCATTGCCATTTATTAATGTGCCCAGCATTGGAACATGGTCCAAAAAAACGCAGTAGGGGTTATTTTCAGGGGATTTTTTTTCTCATGTACAACAATATACATTTATTCAGATACAGTTATGCCATCTTCTGGTTGACACACAAAGGTGGAGGGCGGGGTTTCACTTAACTGGGGCTTATTTTTGGGATAGGGCTTATTATTATGAGCATCCTGAAAAATCATACTAGGGCTTATTTTCAGGGAAACGGGGTATGTATAGCATTTGATATTAAAGTAGCATCTGGTCTAATCTGCATTTTCCAGCATCTTCTGGGGAGCTTGGAACCAATTCCCCACAGAAATGGGGGCCCTATTGTACATATTTCTGAGGTTTTTTAATTTAACATTTCCGGGCATCAGACGACTGAATCCACAGATACTGATCCCGCGGATTTGGGTGGGTGGGGGGATCCTGCCGTATGCTGTTGTTTCCCAGCAGGAAACTCCTGTGGGCTGGATTTAGTGCGTCTGCTTTCCTTAAGGATGTGCAACCAGATCTGCTCCCGTTGGTGATTATGACTCTAGTCCTGGGCTACGGAGATAAACACAACCATTATACCAGTTCCGTGACGAAGTTCACGTTGGCCTTGGTCTCCATAATGCCCTTGTCATACTACATAGGAATGGCGATTGCCAGGTGAGGCGTCGTGTTAAGGAGTAAGACGGAACTCGTGACGCGCAGACCCAGACGCTCTCAGAGGTGGCCACACGTTGGCTTTTTCTGCTCAGTTCCAAGCTGTGAACTCGGCTGCTACAAAAGAGTGAGATGTTAGGAGGCACATCCATCATCCCCCTGTGTTCAAAAACACATGTGCCACACACCCAAATTCATGATGATGGGTGGTTTCTGGGAACCTTTGAAATCCGCGATGCACCCAGGCTCAGCTCTGCCGCTTTGCTTGTTCTGTCTCATGTGGCTGGCAGTGGAAGACCAGAGTAGACTTCGGTTTAGATGGGCAGGATATAAATAAAATAAAGTAAGATTAAAAACTGCAGGCAGGGCCTTCTGGGTGGTGGCTCCCGGGTCACGAAACTCCTTTCCAAGGAAAATTGGTCCCACCTTTTCTTTCTTGTTTCTTTTAATTGGCAGTATGGGACCCTTTTTTTTAATTCCACCCAGCTTTTTGGTAATGGACCAAAGTTCTCATAAAAGCCAGGTGCTGTGCTTCTTTGAACAGATGTGTGGCTTAAATCGGCATTTAATCCATAAGGTTTTCATAGTGTGCCTTTCTAGGTTGCGTTTTAGCGTGATCATTTCCTAGGTCCGTTTCAGATTGCATTGATTTTGATCTTGTTCTGGGGGCCCCTGCCTCTTGGGTCTCAGTTAAGGAAGAAAGCGAGAGGATAAGGGTGAATGAAGGATGATTGGATAGACCTGGGAGGTGTGAAGTTGGAGAATTGAGCTGAATTGGGTGACCGGGTTAGCTAGCTTTGAAGAGAAAGGACTTGAGTCTTTTCAGGTCTTCTCCCTAAACACAGGACTGGGAAGATTTTGGAGGAGCTCACCTGGGCGGGCTGCATCAGAAGGCCCATGGCTGTGCATCTGTTTCTTCTCCAGAGATGAACATGTACGATAACATGACCCCTGTATTAAACCACTGAAAGAAAACCAAATAGTGAATTAAACTACCAAAAAAATTTAAACAATGAATGCAAACTTTCGTGTGTTAAAATTCCCTTCGTCAGGCATGCACGAGTAACTTCTGGACAGTGCAGAAAAAATTGTAAATGAATGTCCCAAAAATTCATGGCAAAATTTTCCGGGCATTGTCCTCTTGAAGTGAGTCTAAAGCTGGTTAGAGGCAGGCTTGGGGTGTGTGGTTTAACGCTTCCCCCACCCCTGTACCCTCTGGTTGGAAATGTCCGCTCACTGGGGTAGATTTTGGTTTACTCACCAGGTAGGAGCCGCCTGAAGTCCACTTACAGCCAGTTACACTACCAGGGGAGTGTGTAAGCAGGTGTTATCCTAAGCCTGCGTGTAACCAGCTTTACACTCACCTTAAGAGGTTGATACCTGTCCTTCAGACATCCCTTGGCCCAGGTTTGGTACCATTCTCCATTAAATCCTGTTTCTTATTTCAAAGGTGTAACAGTGGCAACAAAAGCTAANGGGGGAAGGAACACAATCAGATTCTTTCCAGTGTAGTAATGGCTGTTGCCGGGCTGCTTTTTAAACAGCCTTGTTTTTATTGAGAAGCATTCCTTTCTCTTTGCTATCTTGCAGTATCTCTGCCCAGAGCAACTTTGCAGTGGGAGCAGTGGTCAATGCCACCTTTGGCTCCATCACAGAGCTAACCTTCTACATCACCGCACTCATCAAGGGTGCCCGTGAGAAGAATAAGTGCTACGAGGAGATTGTCAGGTCAGCTCTGACGGGGACCCTCTTGGGCTGTGTCCTTTTCATCCCGGTGAGTCTGCTTGAGTGCCGCTGCTGTATTATCCCCATTTTTGCCCATTCCTCATCTCCTTTAAGCTGCTGCAGTTCTCATTCTGCCAGCCTGGGATTCTGCAACTGATTTCCACAGCTTGAATCAGATAGAAACAAGATGTCAGCCTGTATATTTTCTTTTCAGAACTTAATTGCCTCACTGCTGGGAATCTTACTTTTATCCTCACTCTTGTTCTTTTTGTGAGTCTTGTAAACTTACATTAACCCGATCTGTTCATATTTTTTTTTCTCCCTTCGGTTTCTGGCCAAGAGGAGAAGATCTTCTTTCCGTAACTAATCTGATAGTTAGATTGCCGTGCTTCAGGGAAGGTCTTATTCTACCCCAGACTTCTTCAGCTTGGTGCTGTCCAGATGTGGCTGGCTTGAGATGATGGGGAGTGATCATTCAGTCCACCTGGACAGCACTAGGTGGGAGAGGACCGAGCTAATGACTCTTTGGAGTTGAGGCTGGCACATGCAAGGATAAAAATCTGGGTATGCTATTTTTATTTTTATTTTTTATGTGGTCTTGCTTGTCTGCTTGTCTCCTTCAAGGGCCTGTGCATGGTGATTGGTGGCATCCGGCACCAAGAGCAGCGATTCAACAGCCGGTCAGCCGGGGTCAGCTCAGCCCTGCTCTTCCTGTCAGTCGGAGGTGAGCTACCCCCAAAGACGTGGAATGCCAGTTCAGGGGAAATGGCACCACTTTCCTGACAAAGCTGTATATATTTTTTTCTGCGGCACTTTTTTAGCAGCTCAGTTAACTTCTCAGTTGCTGCTGTTAACTTTGGAACTTGCCCTGCCGGCCCACCTGAAGCACCATGTAGTCAACTGCAGTGCATTAAGGTGCATTGTCTGGCTTTGACCAGTTCTTTGAAGGGGGCGCTGTTGCACCTTTTTTGTCTGAAGTGGCTCTTTGGGATAAACCAAAGTGACCAGCTTTGACTGGCTAATATCATCCCTTTGTGGAACCACCCTCCTCTTATGGGGATAGCGGTGAGACAGACGCACACACTCTCTTTGGTTTGAGAAGGAGGTGCACCTTGTTTTAAAGAAGAATCACACATTCCAAGGGAAAACACAGAAGGGTGAGTGGGTCATTTTCGTGAATGCACCACCAGTGTGAATGTGGCAGAGGCAGGGGCCACAGAAGTGGGCAGACTGGTGGGTGAGACTATCCATTGCCCACACACCCCACACACTAAAGAAACACCAACCCTGTAGGGTGGGTGCAGGGCATAAGAACATCAGGAGAGCTTTGCTGGATCAGGCCAGGGGCTGTCGGTAAAGCTTAGAAACGTTGCTTTCTTTTTCTAACTCCCCGAATTTTGCCCTCCGAAAAGATAACATTTCTGAGACCTGGATGTGAAAGAAAAAGAGAGACTGAGAGAAAGAAAGCAGGGCGTAGGCTTTGGTGGCCGCCGAGAGAGAGAGCGTCTGTGGTGATGTCATGTTGTCAAACTAGCGGGAGACGATGGTTCAGTCATTCTTGTTGTTGCTTTCCGGTCAGACGCTCTAGTGTGCCTCCTAGAGTGGTCGAAATGACTAGATAGGCGGGGGATGAATACAATAAATAAATAAAAATAAATAAATAAATAGTGTTTATCAAGGGATGCCTTTAAGGTGTGGGAGAAACACAACGCTGTGCGTCTCCAGTCCAAATCGGGCAGAAGCTGGCCCTGATCAGGATGTATTGGCTAAGGCTCGTGATGTCACGGACACACTTCTCCAGGTACTGGACGACTACACCATGAATTTTCCAGGCAGCATAGAGGCAAATGTCTGCACCCCCTGTAGAATTCTGGGAATTGTAGTCAAAATATTACAAATATCCACAGTGCTCCTGATCACCACTACCCACAGAAATTCAGAAAACAGTTATAAACGTGGCATGCTGTTTGCTGACGGTCCAGTTCGAGAGAGCAGGACCGGATGGCAGGCCAAAAGGACCTCCTGAACCTGGGAAGCCATTTTGTGGTTACGGTTGTCTGTAACGCAGGTGATAAAGCAGATTTGACAAGAAGGCCCAGAACGCCCGTGTCTGGCCTGTGGGATCCCACGTCTTTGCGCTGTTTTTAATTCTGAGGAAGGGAAGCCCATCTGCTCCGGGTTTCTGTCACGGAAATGCAGAAAGAGGTGTGAGACATGTCCTGAATGAATCCCTCCTTCGGGGCTGGGGGGGTGACAATCTTTCCTTGTGCTCCTTTTTTTTGGCCAGGAGTGTTTGCCCCGACTCTCTTCTCCAAAGTCTACGGGAGGCTGGTTTGTGGGGAGTGCCAGAACGTGACCCAAGAGCCCCCCGGCCATTACGTCTGCCAGAGCTGCCATTTTGACTTGGTGAGTAGACGCTTCCTGGCCTCGCCGGAGCCCCAGAACGGTCGAGGGGCCACGGTGGAGTGTGCGGTCTTGACTGCCTTGTGTTGGAGCCAAGGAGAGGACATCTGCCTCGTGCGTTCAAAGGCGGGTGGGTTTGACTGCCCAGAGCCCTTCCGGGCCCCAGGCCATCTTGTTTTACCTTGGTTAATACAGTGGTGCCTCGCTAAATGATAATCTGTTACAGTGAAATTGCTGTTTAGCGAAATCATCGTCTAGTGAAAAGCATTTCCCCATTGGAATACATTGAAACCTATTTAATGCATTCCAAAGGGGAAGAACTGTCGTCTAGGGAAGATCGGCCATAGGAAAGCCGCTTTGCAAACTGCCGATCAGCTGTTTAAGTCGCTGTCTTGCGAAGCTTAGATCCCGAAAACACCCGTTTTGTGAGTGCGGAGGGAGCTGTGAAAATCGTTGTCTAGCGAAAATAGGTTTGCGAAGCAGGGACTAAACATTGTCCAGCGAAATTCCCCCATAGGAATCACTGTTTTGCGAATCACTATAGCGATCGCAAAAAGTCAATGTCTAGCAAAAAAACCTGTCATGCGGGGTAACTGTCTAGCGAGGCACCACTGTAATAATAATCTTAGAACAGGCAGGGCTGGAAGGGGACCCTCGAGATCATCCAGTCCAGCCGCTGTCAAGGAGATACAACTCCCAACCTCTGGCTCTGCAGCCAGAGACCTGAACCATTGAGCTATCCCATAGTTCATTAAGGATCGTCGTCATCATCTTAGAACGGCAGAGTTGGAAGGGACCCCTAAAGATCATCCAGTCCGGCCCCTGTCAGAGAGACCCAGTGGGGAGAATTGAACCCCCAAACTCTGGCCCCGCAGCCCGAGACCTGAACCACGGAGCG